CATCTCTCCTTCAAGACAGGTTGCCTTTTGCCATGTCGTTGAAATGTTTAAGCCTTGAATGGCTTCAATCTTGACCTTCCAGACACCTGTAACGAATTGCTAGTGGCGAGATATGCCTTGCTCAGCAACAGAAGCAAAGCTTGAAGTAAAGCCTGAAGCAACTGCATGGCTCAACCTCGCCCTCAACCAGCTCAGTAAAAAATTCGCGAGAGCTACCGCTGGGGGGCTACCCCACTGACGTAGGCCGAAGCCACAGTTGAAGAATGTTGAAGACAGCTTTTAAACCTGCACAGGGCGGCCGGCTCGCCTAAGGGCGGCCGGCTCGCCTGTCGTCTTGAAGGCGGCTAGCTCGCCAAAGGGCGGCCGGCTCGCCTGTCGTTTTGTGGGAAGCCGGCTCGCCTAATGGGCGGCCGGCTCGTTTGTCGTCTTGAAGGCGGCTAACTCGCCAAAGGGCGGCTGCCTCACCTGCCGTCTTGACCGCGGTCGGGTCGCTGAAGAGCGGTCGGCTTCCCTGTGCTGCTTGCTTGCCAAGACAGCACCCTTCAAATTTCACGCTTCTCCCTTTGCTTCAAGTCTAGCATGTTGGATCACCAGGTAAAGCTGGAAACAGCTATTCCTCAAAGGAACAGCTGGCGCAAGACTGCTTGCCTTGTTTCACAGTTATCCTAGACCCTCACATCTCTCCTTCAAGACAGGTTGCCTTTTGCCATGTCGTTGAAATGTTTAAGCCTTGAATGGCTTCAATCTTGACCTTCCAGACACCTGTAACGAATTGCTAGTGGCGAGATATGCCTTGCTCAGCAACAGAAGCAAAGCTTGAAGTAAAGCCTGAAGCAACTGCATGGCTCAACCTCGCCCTCAACCAGCTCAGTAAAAAATTCGCGAGAGCTACCGCTGGGGGGCTACCCCACTGACGTAGGCCGAAGCCACAGTTGAAGACAGCTTTTAAACCTGCACAGGGCGGCCGGCTCGCCTAAGGGCGGCCGGCTCGCCTGTCGTCTTGAAGGCGGCTAGCTCGCCAAAGGGCGGCCGGCTCGCCTGTCGTTTTGTGGGAAGCCGGCTCGCCTAATGGGCGGCCGGCTCGTTTGTCGTCTTGAAGGCGGCTAACTCGCCAAAGGGCGGCTGCCTCACCTGCCGTCTTGACCGCGGTCGGGTCGCTGAAGAGCGGTCGGCTTCCCTGTGCTGCTTGCTTGCCAAGACAGCACCCTTCAAATTTCACCCTTCTCCCTTTGCTTCAAGTCTAGCATGTTGGATCACCAAGTAAAGCTGGAAACAGCTATTCCTCAAACGAACAGCTGGCGCAAGACTGCTTGCCTTGTTTCACAATTATCCTAGACCCTCACATCTCTCCTTCAAGACAGGTTGTCTTTTGCCATGTCGTTGACATGTTTAAGCCTTGAATGGCTTCAATCATGACCTTCCAGACACCTGTAACGAATTGCTAGTGGCGAGATATGCCTTGCTCAGCAACAGAAGCAAAGCTTGAAGTAAAGCCTGAAGCAACTGCATGGCTCAACCTCGCCCTCAACCAGCTCAGTAAAAAATTCGCGGGAGCTACCGCTGGGGGGCTACTCCACTGACGTAGGCCGAAGCCAAAGTTGAAGACAGCTTTTACACTGCACAGGGCGGCCGGCTCGCCTAAGGGCGGCCGGCTTGTCTGAGGGCGGCCGGCTCGCCTAGGGGCGGCCGGCTCGCCAAAGGGCGGCCGGCTCGCCTAAGGGCGGCCGGCTCGCCTGTCGTTTTGCGGGCAGCCGGCCGCCGCCGGCCGAGGCGGCCGGCTCGCTTGGATTCTTGACGACGGCCGTCCCACTTTAACGTGGTGAACTCGCTGTCGGGCGTCCAACTCGTAGTGCTTCTTGGTGAATTGTGATATCAAGTGAGCTTCGAGATGTGAGCGCAACAAGCGCGCTCTGTGTATTTGGACGTTAGTGAATAAAAACAAGAAAGAGATCGGACGAGCCATCATGAACTCGAGTGCCTTTGTAGAATTCGGGTATAGGGATTAGAGGTGCTTAAGTTAATGCCGTCTAGAAGATTAAAATCACACCCGTGCGCGTTTTCTTTACCCGGTGCCGCTTGCCGGGGAGTCGCCTGGGGCCTGACAAGGCCAGGTCCACTCATTTTTAGAAGCAATTTCTTCTGCTTACACGGCATTAACTTCAAGCAAATTTTCTATATAGTTACAATAGAGCTTCTAGCCCCCCCTCTGTATATAATTGACGGGGGGCTGGAAACCCGTAATAACAGTATTTATCATATGGACTCGGGAAAATACGATCTTGTGTTTAAGGCACTTTCTATAAATTATAAGAACATACAAGCAAACTCGCCTGCGCCAGGCAGAAGGAACCTGCATTGTTGTTTCATGAGCATGTCGATATCACACAGCATCAGTATCTAGACTACCCTCACAAGCATCAAGAGCATCATCACCACAAGATAAAAAGTAAACAAAACAACAAAAGAATGAAAGGCGAACCCTTTTCCGCCTTACAGAAAGAAGCATGACACATTTCAGGCAGGAAATGTGTCATCTTTTCTGCCTTACAGAAAGAAGCATGACACATTTCAGGCCGGAAATGTGCCATCTTTTCCGCCTTACAGAAAGAAGCATGACACATTTCAGGCCGGAAATGTGTCATCTTTTCCGCCTTACACAAAGAAGCATGACACATTTCAGGCCGGAAATGTGTCATCTTTTCCGCCTTACAGAAAGAAGCATGACACATTTCAGGCCGGAAATGTGTCATCTTTTCCGCCTTACTCCTACTACTACTGCAACTGCGACTGCTACTTCTCCTACTACGACTAGTTTAGAGTCCTCACGTACATTGCCCCATAAACGCCCTGGCCCCACGCTGCCGAGGCTCTGCCCTCCCCTCGGCTGTGCCTTGTGTAGGGCAGAGCCTCGGCGTGGGTCCTAGAATGCCCATGCTGTGCCTTTGTCTTTCCCCTTTGCTCTGGCTGGGACTGTGCCCTGGAGGCTGGGGCTGGGGCTGGGCCGGCTGGGGCTGGAGGCCGGGTGCGGGCTGGGGCTCGGGCTGGGACTGGGCCTGGCTGGGGGGGTGGGGCTGGGGGCTGGGGCTGGGGGGTTGGGCTAGGGCTGGTGGGGGCTGGGGCTGGGGCTGGCTGGGGCTGGGGCTCAACATTTAAATTTTTCAAATTCTTTAAAATCTTTAAATTTTTAATTCCGGACGATTTCAAAATTTAAAGAATTTAAAGAATTTACACCTTTTAAATTTTTAAATTCTTTAAATTTTTAATTCCGGACGATTTAAAAATTTAAAGGATTTACACCCTTTAATTTGTTTAAACTCTTTAAATTTTTAATTCTGGACGGTTTCAAAATTTAAAGAATTTAAAGAATTTAGAAAATTTAATTCCGTGGGCTGGGGTCGGAGGCTGGGGGGCTGGGGCTGGGGCTGGAGCTAAATTTTTAAAATTCTTTAAATTCTTTAAATTCTTTAAATTCTTTAAATTTTTAATTCCGGACGATTTAAACATTTAAAGGATTTACCCCCTTTAGATATTTTTTAAATTCTTTAAGTTTTTAACTCTGGACGATTTCAAAATTTAAAGAATTTAAAGAATTTAGAAAATTTAATTCCGTGGGCTGGGGTCGGAGGCTGGGGCTGGAGCTGAACATTTAAATTTCTAAAATTTTTTAATTCTTTAAATTCTTTAAATTTGTAATTCCGGACGATTTCAAAATTTAAAGAATTTAAAGAATTTTCACCTTTTAAATTTTGAAAATCTGTAAAGTTTTAATTCCGGACGATTTAAAAATTTAAAGGATTTACACCCTTTAAGTTTTTTGAATTCTTTAAATTTTTAGTTCTGGACGATTTCAAAATTTAAAGAATTTAAAGAATTTAGAAAATTTAATTCCGTGGGCTGGGGTCGGAGGCTGGGGGGCTGGGGCTGGAGCTGAACCTTTAAATTTCTAAAATTTTAAATTCTTTAAATTCTTTAAATTTGTAATTCCGGACGATTTCAAAATTTAAAGAATTTAAAGAATTTTCACCTTTTAAATTTTGAAAATCTGTAAAGTTTTAATTCCGGACGATTTAAAAATTTAAAGGATTTACACCCTTTAAGTTTTTTGAATTCTTTAAATTTTTAATTCTGGACGATTTCGAAATTTAAAGAATTTACTCCCTTTTAAAGGTTTAAATTTTTAAATTTGTAATTCCGTATATACACAGTATATATTAAGACACAGAGCAAGCCCTACGCCAAATAGAACCTAAAGGTCCTACGTACTTAGGCCTTAAGGGTTTATGAGGTTCTAGGGTTTCTAAATATGGTTTTAGCGTTTCAGGTTTAGGATTGCAGGGGTACAGGGTTTAAGAGCTTCTACCTTTACCAAGGGTTTCGGGGTTTAGATTTAGGAGTTCTACAGTAGAAGCCCAATAGCCTCAATCCGTAAGAGTAATGGATAGGGAATCCCAGCACTATTTGGCCTTAATCAGGTTTCCCTATTATATTCGGGTGGGGGCAGCTTCTAAATTCTACCCTTTACCTCTCCTGGCTGCTTGGGCTCCTATTTGACTATAGAGTCTATTGGCATCCAATTAAGAGAACTTGCCCTGAACCCGGTTTAGGGTTTGGGGTTTATAAGGCTGTAGGCGTTTAGGGTTTAGAGGTTTAGGGTTTATGATGGTCTAGGCCTGAAACCCCCCTAAACCCCTCCTGAAGACACAGAATCTACTTGCTTTGGGGCTCCTTGTTATGACAACAAGTAGGGTTCCTTTAAACCCTAAAACCCTAAAGCAGTCCTAAAGCCTTGAAACCTTAAATTAAAAACCCTAAAGCCCTAAAAAGCAAAAACAACTATAATACACTAAACTTAAACCCCAAACCGCTGAAGCCCTAATTTCGAACCCCCAAACCAAAACATCCAAAAATCCTAAGCCCTAAACAATAAACCCTAAACCCTCAACCTTAAACCCTGAACCCTAAGCCCTAAACCCCAAAGCCGAAATTCCGAGCTAGGGCGCTGGGGTGCCAAGGCTTTCGGAAGGCCTTGCGGGGCCCCACGGAAACCCCAACTCAGCCTCACAGAAAGGCCAGGTTTTCACTTTGGGTTGACGGGGCAGGGATTACCTTAACCCTAAAGAACCTACCTTTTAGGGACTTATATCAGGAAATCACAATGAAGAGCTCTAAAAAAGTACGGTATTCAGGGTTAAGGTAAGGGTTGAGGGTTTAAAAGGGTTTGGGATTGAGGGTGGAGAGTTGACCGCGCACTCCTTAGTAAAGGAGTATCCCTTAAGGGATTTTGGATTTTTCGGGAGCCGGGTTTTGGGATTTAACATTTTTTGCCTTCTTTCCTTCGGAGTGACCCCAAACCCTAATCGGCCCTGCCCCCCTACACCCCCCCCCAAACAAAAAAACAACTTACACAACAAACGCCCTGAAAGTTTATGAACCTTTACAAGCCCTGAACCGAAGTGGTGGATGTGAATGGCTGGTTCGGCTGGCTGGGCTTGATTTGGCCGTGGGGTTGTGGTTGTTTTGTAAGGTTCCCAGAAGGTCCCAAACTCTTTGGCAAGCATCATAGTGTAAGCGTGAAAAAGGAATCCTTAACAGTACTTTACGATGACTGTTATGTAAACTATATAATGTAGGAATCTGATTAAGAAACCTTGGGCCTCTATCAGGGTTCCTTATATTCATCCTGCTATTTTGGGTTTTTTAGGTCCGGGGTTTCTGAATCAGGTTCCTACATTAGATGATGTATAAGGGGATTTGGAGTCTCTGTGCTCCTTTGCCAACTGAGTAACCGAGAAATAAAGCCTGAGCATCTCATACGCCGCCATGCCTCTCGGCCGGAACGGCGCGCATCATCACAGGGAGGGACGGGCGAAACACTGTTTCGGCTTGAGGTTTAGGAGTTTCTGGCCTGCGGGGATGTACGGGCACTGTAAGGTCAAGGCTTCGTGTGATTGTGACTTCGAAGGAAACCTGCGTCTGAAGGACCTTACGGCCCGAAACCCTGCAACCCTTAAAACCAAAGCCCCTGAACCCTAAAAGCCTAAACCCATGAACCCACTTCGGTGGGACTCTACACTGAGGGCTGAATTCTAGGCCGAATTGAAGGCTTAACACTTCAGGACCACGTAAGGTTTAAGCTCACGCAGTCGTTTGGGCCTTTCATGGTTTGGGGCGTGGGGTGTACGGTGTGGAGAAGCCGAGGCTGTTAGACCATGATTCCCGGAAAGCATTCGTGACAGAATCTTAGGAAGCTGAAACCAAAGTCCTGCCGTGTTGACGTATCGCAGAGCCAACTCATTCATGCATTATGATTCACCATGTCACAAGAATCATGGGTAGCATCATCACGACCACCACCATCATCAGAAAATGCTGAGTTCAGTCGTTATAGCACAAGGCTTGACATCTCTGCTCATGACATGGAGCAACACCAGGTATCAGCATGCATGGCACAGCCCAGCCGGAGATTAACGAAACCTGAGCCATTGAGTTTCTTTGCTTCAGGACAAGCACAAAATCCGAGTGCCCAGTTTGCCAAGCACCGAGGACCTAGCAATTTCGTGTTGAGCTGAGGGAAGCCCCAAACCCACAACAAGTCAAACCAGTGTGGGAACGCAAAATACGAGCTTGGCGACGTCCTGTTTGCAGGCGATTGTAGCAACAACGCAATCCCAAACCCATAGACCCTAAGCCCTAAAGATCCCTAAAGGTTCTGTTTCACTAGACGGGCCTCGAAGCATCATGGCCGTCCAATTCTACCATCTGAAACTCCGACCCTAAATCCTAAACCCCAAGGATATAAGGAGGGACTCTTAATACGGACCCCTAGGTATTTACCCTTAGTATAATTATTATATACCCATTATATAGCAACATTATAGGGTAGGGGTCCCCATTAAGGGTCCCTCCTTTTCCCCTTTGATAAACCCTAAACCTGCCCTGCAGTGTCAAGCTGCACAAAGCTCTGAATCGGCCGTTTTCCTGCCTTAGGCACAAACCAACACACTGCATATCTGGACTGCCTGCTTAGTGCTTGTGGAAATACATATACACGAACATGAAGGTAGCCATTGAACAACATGTCAGGGCCATATGGTTGGCCTATTTTTCTTATTGGCACCTACACACAACAGCACTAAGACTTTCTTCGCAGGTTCCACTCAGCCGAATCCAATCATATCTTCGTGCACCGCAAAACCTGTCGCAGAAATCCTTGGGGGTCCTTATGGTCATTATATGCACTACAAACAACCAGCAAAGTCCCACTCTAATTATTGAGGCCCCAATGTCAAGCCCCTTAACAGCCTCTGTAGAACCCTTTTAGGGATCCTGTCCTAGTTGCTAGAGGCCTCCAGCCCTAAACCCCGAACCCTAAATACTAAAATCCTATAATCACCGCGTAATCACCCAAAACGCCAAGCCTTGCACCCAAAGTCAAGGCCCCATGTTAACTTCAATCTGAGAGGAACCGAGGCAGTCGCCAAGCCGGCCGGGAGAGCTTCTCCAGCAGAGGTATTAGGTCTTCAAACTTTCTGGACAAGCTACTTTGATCATGCATATGATTACGAGCATGTTTTGCAGGAACTTAATCAGTCTGCATGTTTATGACGATTATGAGGATTATTCTGTGTTTAAATAGTTTAACCCTATTGTGACGATTATGGTTGTTGTTATACTATGCCTATGATTTGATTATGAACTGTGTGATACTTCTGCAGTTCTGAAGACTGCAACAACCATCATGACTAGTTTTTTGTTGTCATGACTCTGAGTTTGTTATCATACTTGTCATTATACTACCACGCTTGTCAGGAGTGATCATGCCTAGCAAGAATCTTTTTTAGGAGTAGTAGCAATCGCTGCTGGACGAGCTTCTGCGACGCGGGGAGGCTTGCATTAGCATTCAGCGGCACAGCACCGATCCACGAAGCCCGAAGCCCGTGGCGCGATACACCCCAAAGCATCTTGAATAAGGATCCTCAGAGGGTTTCCGATAAGGGTGTAGTCGGGTCTTATAAGAACCTCACATGGGTTCTACATGACAAGGAGTATGCCTCAAAATATCGCGGCTTCTGCAACACATACTCATGTACTTTCCTCGATGAACAGGTTTTGGGTGTCACACGGGTTAAGCGCACAGGTGGTTCAGGACTTGGAGACTATAAACGTGTAGTATTATCGTCGTTGCTACTATGTACATATATACACATGTGTGTATGTATATATATATATACACATACAGCTATGTCTTAGCCGGTTTTTATGTCAATAGTATGTACCTAGATCTGTGGTTCGATGATTCGGGGACTCGTGTGCGCAGGTGCAGCGACAAGAGGGACTTGGGACAGGCACGGTTTATGCTTTAGGGTTCGGGGCTATGCAGAAACCAAAACGGTCACTGTAAGGTTATCCCATGCCAAGCTGTCAACCAGCGCCCTGGGCTTCCAGTCCAAACCTAAAGCCCAAACAACGGGTCCTCACAGGGCTTCCTGTTAGAAAGCAGTCAAAATCAAAGTTTCCAGAAGTCGTGTTTAGTCTATCCACAATCTGCCACCATGCAGGACATGCTTTGATGACTTAACGCAAATACACTAAACCCGAAGGTTTTCACGTCGAGGACAGGAGGAGCCAATAGCGGCGTCGGGCTGGCTTGGTGGCTCTCACGCAAGCTGCCTGTCGCAGCTCAGCACTCAGGGTCTGGCGCGTGTGCTTCTTGGGAAGGGAAGCCTGAAACAGGAACCAAAAGCGCGAAAATCGTAATAAACATAATCTTGACAAAGAGCCCGTGTGACTACTCTATACTTACTATAGCGTAGGGGTCTTAATAATTAGAATAGGGTTTTGGTTTACATTATACTATATTCAATATTCATCATAGGATTCCAAATTTAGTACTGGTGATGATTTAGGCCCCTATACTGAAGGCGGTGTTCATATCACATGCCTGGAAAAAGCCAACCCTAAGATCTGGCTGTAGAACTCAGGGTTAAGGCTTTAGGGCTTAAGGCCTGCGCGCCATCGCTACTCCTTCACCGCTACCGCCACAACAACAGCAACTACTACTACTACTACTACTACCACTACTACTACTACTACTACTACTACTACTACTACTACTACTACTACTACTACTACTGCTACTGCTACTGCTACTGCTACTACTAGCCATACATCCGGAATCCTCGTCTCTGCACCCGTAGCTTCTTGCGTCCCCAGAGTCTGAATCTTCCTTAAGATGAGATTGAGTTGTTTGGGCGTAATGTAGGATCCTGATTAAGAAACCGTGGGCCTTTATAAGGGTTCCTGAAATGCATCCTACTATTTTGGGGCTCATGGGACCAAGGTTTCTTAATCAGGTTCCTACATCATTATAGTACAAGTATTATGGATCCCTTATAAGCAACCCTTATAGACCCCTTTTACAGGAACCCGTTCCTACATTAACCTTGTAGAACAAAGAGAAGGAAGCTCTTGAGGGTTCAGGTTCCTACATTAGGCTGTATTGAAATGGCTTCACGGCCGGGCTCGGGGCTTCGGGCTACGGGTTTAGAGTTGAGGATTAGCGGCTGACCAACTCCTATAAGGGTTCCTTTAAGGGCTCCTTTAAGGGATCCTTTAAGGGGTCCTTTAAGGGTTCCTTTAAGGGCTCCTTCAAAGCCTACTTGTCGGGTATCATGGGGAACTAAAGGTTAACCTTTTGGTTATATAGGGATTCTCTAGGGACTATACTACCCCAAAAAAGTGAAAGGTTACCTATTCTACTACAAGGAATTATTAAGGACCCTAAACCCTAAAACCAAGGGGCGCACGGGAGCGCCTACTCGGGGCGGATGACCGAGCCGCGCTTCTTTTGTTCCATGCGCTTCATCACCTTCCGGCAGGGCGTAATATAGGGGCCGTAATAATTCGAATAGGGTTCTGGGGCCCACTATACTATAGCAATTATAATTAGGAACCCCCAAAACGGTATAGGTAATTATTGAGGCCCCTATACTAATCACGTACTTACTTGTCTAGCGACCCTGTGAGAACTAAATTCTAACCTTATTATATAGGGATTGCACTACTAGTGGATTTTTATGGCTCAAAGTTTATGGTGAGGGATTCTCCGACTGGGGAGCGATAAATCGTAAGCGTATGGGAGTTTCCGAAAATTAGGGGTACCTTATATGGGGTCCTTAAAACAAGGGTTCTACTATTTCATGTACTATATTAGGGTCCCCTATTTTCCGAAACTCCGGTATGAATACGGATAAGCCTTCGTGATAGTGAGAGAATCTGCAGGGAGCCTACTTGCATTCTGGTGCGCACATCACCATTGCAAGAGGGACCTACTCCATATCCATGTAAGCCGTAGACACACACAAAGCACGTCAATTGGAAACCCTCAGGCCCTACGGTTGATGATATAAATCCTGCACTACCTTAAGGATCCTAAACTATGGGAATTGTGGTATATTCCTTATTATGGGTAATGCAGGATTTCTATCATCCACCGTAGAAACCCAGACCTTCCCAAAATCCCTTAAATAAGGAATATACCTTAAATTATAGTAGGATCCCTAATATGATTTAAGGTATATTCCTTATTTAAGGGATTTTGGAAGGTCTGGGAACACTGAGCACTAAGCTAAGGACTCCTGAAGTTAGAGCCGTGCTCTTCTCGGCATCATGTTAAGTATCGATAAGGGAGTTTCCGAAAATAGGGGACCCCAATACAGTCCCCTACATAGTAGGATCCTTATTATAAGGAACCCCAAATAAGGTACCCCTCGTTTTCGGAAACTCCCAATAACATCGGTTATTACAGAACATACCAAATGCCCTACACGCCTCCAAGTCCGAATCCCCTTTTCGAAGAAAGAGCAGCTAGAAGCGCTCGCCTCGACGCAACAGGCGGCACTTTCGGCTTCAATTCTCATATCCCTAGGGGGTAGAACTAAGGTCTCGCAAGTAAGATCTCACTTCCTCAAGCTCATGAATTCGATCCGTATTCTTGACAGCACTATGCTTACTATTCGGGCAAACCCTAAACCCTAAACCCACCTCCTCAAACTCATCGTCGATGGCGAGATTCGTCTCCAAAGCTCCCACTGCATTCGCCGAGGTGAAAGATCCAGACCGCGAGTTGCCTTGGCTCTCTCTCCCGGATTCTTGTTAAAGCTAAGTTACCATAATTAATAAAGAAACCAGAATATTTACCAGAGATCCCTTGTGGTAACTTCAGTTAAGTTCCTTAGCAAGAGCCTAGTCTCTCTCTCTTTCTCTCTGTATCGCTCGCTCTCTCAGGGTTTGGGGGTTTAGGGATGGGATTGTGGTTTCAGGATTTAGGTTTTAGGCCTTAGGGTCTTTCGGGGTTGAGCGTTTGTCTGCTGCTTTTTTGGTGGGGGAGGGGGGGCGGGGGTTTGGGCTTGACAATAGTTTGCATCCAAACCCACCGACTCCTTACATCGCCCTGGATTCCGTCTCCCCGTATCCCATCCGCTCCTTACATGTGCGTGGTGAGTTGCTGCACTGACGGCGGCGACGGCAATGATTCAAGCAAACCCATCACATGTCCATGATTGCTTACATTCGAAGGCTTTTACGACTTTGACGGAACACTTAGGACAGCATGTGCATTCATTCTACTCAACTGTTATCAAACCCCACAACATACTTTCCCTTCCACATGCCCGATCCCCTCGCCCTAACCCCTGAAACCCTAGAACCCTACGGCCGTAAGCCCTCCTGAATTCATGTCGCCCCTGCTTTCGACTATGATAACTATGTATATTGTATCTGTATGTATGTATGTATGTGCATATATATATATATATATATATATATATACATATATATATATATATGTGCATATATATATATATATATATATATATATATATATATTCTGCATATCTTTATGTCTAATTTCATGTACCTTTTCCTGGTATTCGGGAGCCTTGACACAAAAAGGGAAGTAAGGGCACCACGGGGAGAGCTAATATCCTAAGCTGTCAAAATCATACATATCAAACTATGCTAAGCTACTTACAAGCCCCAGACCGAAACCCTAAAACCCCTAACAATATTCATGTTAAGCTGGGCTAATGTCAGTCTTGGAAGCTCACAAGGTGGGATGAAGGTAGGTAGGATTAAAGGTCATGTATATCAGGACCCTTATTCGGGATTACCCCACCTACCTTCATCCCACCTTCGGAAGCCCCTGACAGTCGGAGGCCCGAGGTGCAGTTGGACATCAGGGCGGCCAGGCGGATGAACTTCAGCCTTGCTTCTGATGTGGGAGTTTCCGAAAATTAGGGGTAACATATTTTGGGTACACTATTTGGGTCTCCTATTTTCGGAAGCTGCTATGTAAGGGCTGCAGGTTAAGGCTTCCAGGGGGTTCAGGGCTCCAGGGGTTTACGGTTTCGGGGTTAGAGGGTGAGGAGTTTAGAAGTTTATAGGGTTTAAGGTTTTCGTGTTTAGGACTGATTGGGTTTTAAGGGTTTAATGAACACCCAATCTTTTTAGCTTGCAGCATTGCAGCACTACCATGCGTACGCGTATCAACAGAAATCTTGCGTTTACTAGTACGTCGGCGTTTCAGAAAGTAAGAGACCTTATATGGTAAAAGCCCCGCACAAAATTCCCCTCGTTTCATGAAGCCCCATATTTCCGTACAGCTGCGTAGCATGGCAAGTCACACACCCGTGCCCTGCACCAAAGAAACACTTGTCTGATCTTCAAACTTCCAGCGTAAACAGTGCGGTCGATTTGGCTCTTCAGATTGAGACTGAAGCTGTGGACTGTCTGCACTTCTCTTCACCCATGCCCTATCCAAACAGAAACTTCTGAATTGTGACGACCCTTCATACAGTTTGTGGTTTTATAACAGGGTCACCTCTTTCAAAACCGCAACAAACCAAAACTTGTTTGTCAGAACACTCTTGCCCGAACATCTAACGCCGTGCTATGACAGTCAACCTGTAGGACGCTGATGCAAGAAATTGAAATTCCTACACTTGATTTTGGGTCTATAGATCCAGAATCACCAGAGTTTCTTCGACAGGTTCTTACAGTATGTGCTTGACCAGATCCCAGCAGCTTGCGCACGCATTTCTGAAAGCGCAGCAATGGTCTCAGCTCACTGGATGAGGCCTGATGCCATGCTTGAAGGAAGGTTCCGGGGAGATGAAACGAATTGCGCATTGTGTCACGCAGCTTGGCATTAGCAAACCATAAGGGTCATGTCCTAAAGCAGATGCTTCAATATAGTCTTCACCATCATGTTTTCAACCTGACCTAGGCGGCTCAGATTCTGACCAACGACAGGCTGATGGCGGGGAAATCAGAATGGGTCCGTGTCGACTGCAAAACAAGTTGTGAATTTGGCAGTTTTTGCTTTGACAACAGGTACAATAGCACAACAGCCTCGCAAGCCAAATATGCTCTGCAAAATGGTGCTCAAAGCCAACCGGAAGCATCAAAAAAACAAGTTCGGAACAGTCTAACATGTCACTGACTGTGCTTGTCGACACCATGTGAAGATATGTGAAGCGAGCCTACCTCATTTTAATGTAAAGCCGCCTGTGGTCAAGCATGCCAGGTACAAAGAGCCAGAGCATGTATCACGCCAGCCGGATTCAGATGGATTCAGCAGGTCAGAGTCTCCCATGCACTTCCGAAAGAAGTCTTGCTGATTCGTGTTTGTTCTGGTTTAGCAGTCGGTCTTGTTTTCTTAGTTCCTCGGCGCCAAGTGGCGGCACTCTCCCTTACGTAATGAGTTCCCGCACGGAAGCCTGCGACGGTTATGTGTTGTAAATGCGAGAGGGTGAGCTAGGTTTGCAATATTTGCCTGGGCGACTGGCTCCACACCTAATCTTGAAGATGGACCAACTTAAGATGCCGTCAGCATCGGAACCATGCCGTCAACGTAACGAGAAACGAAGTCATGTTGGAACATCGCGCAATGGAAGACTCAGCATGGCCACAGTTCCTTGCAGCAGTCAAGCCGCAAGCCCGCATCAGCCAACAATCAGACGAAAAGCACAGTGTTCCAACACATGGGATGCCTGGACCGTCGAAAAACAAGAAATGCTTGTCCTATTGCTTGTCCTAGTCGGCAAATTGCCAAACCTGTGCACAGCAAAAGAACACTTTCAATATGAACACGATTGCGACATGGGTTCAAACAACATATTGCAGTGGGCACATGTCCGCTCCGTGCGTGTGTGTGCATGACGTCGGAACGGTGAAGACTTATGTCAAGAAAACAGCAACGAAATCTGTCCAGGAACAAAATCTCAGTATGTGAACGATTATCGCAATCCTTGAGCTGCTGCTGCCATTGCTGTGACAGTAACACCCGAGGTGCTACAGCTATCGGTATCATGTTCTGGAAAGCGCAACACCAGTAAGCACTATGACCAGCATACCTGATGTCAAGGGAAAAACATGTCTGTCCCTACGAAAACAAACCCTCTCGGGTCCCTTTACGTGAAGGTGTTGCGCGTGCCAAATGCATGGACTATTGGCAAAGCGCTATGATCATCGCATTACGTGCTGACTTGGACGCTGAGCTCTCAACTGTACCAATAAGGCCAGTACATGCTTCCCCATATTATCGGTACGTGGTTTAAGAACATCTCAATTGACAAGTCTAATGTCGTCATAAGAACTGCGCAGTCCTTCCGACTATTCCTAAAACCTGGCATTGAAGCCGAGTCGCCTTGGGATCCGAGTGTGATGATGTGATACTAGTTATCGTTAGCAAAAAGTCAGAGCATGTGTTGCTTCTTGCACAGTCGCACACAGCTTTCCTCATGTCCGTGCGTTCACCTTCGTGTTCCCTCACAAGCACTATAACCATTGACATGGACAAGCAAACAACTGCGCACTGTTCAACAAGATGCTGATGACCCTCAACTCAACCCTACGTCTCTAAATCATAAAACCGCGGGATCAAAGTCATGGTCAGGCAAAGTTGGCATATCATTCCTCACGGACCTTCGATCTAACTCTACAAGAACTTCCGCTAAAGCCCTGTCTTGTTTATTGAGGCCCGGAATATTAAAACCGTGTGAAACACTTACAGAACCTGTCAAGGAGCCCTATAAAGTCTCTTGAAGCAGCTCTATTCTAAATATTCTGGAGGCCCCCTATACAAATAGAACCCTACTATAGATCACCTATAGACCCCTTCAACGGAACCTCAATATTTGGAAATCTTAGTATAGCGATGCCAGCGGCACAGGGCAAGTGCTGCCTCTGTTGATGCTGCGGAGGTCGAGGAGCTCTCGTCTTTCGGTTTTTCCTGCATTTGTACAATAGTTTGTACACATTTATTACTTTTGTACTCTGTTATGTTTTCGAACAGTAGTTAGACTAGACCATATGGTATCATGCGACATGGTACAAGCTGGTTCTACAACATGGCATGATGTTGTGTTGTATCCTGTTCTGTTCTATCTTTATGTATACTGCACTATGTAATACTACTATACTGCTATCGGACAACAGATTTCGGCATATGATGTTACGTAGTATATTGCATGTTGAATTATAACACAATACGTAATGGTTCAACAGGTCGTGCAATGTGGTGCGCAGACCATATTTGGCTTGATATGGTTTGGTTCTGTTGTGTCTACCTTGTTGTATCACATGTTTTGATGCACTTCTTTGTGTTACACATGTGCATTCTGCCATAATGCTTCTGTGCTGTATGATTCCTAGTGCGACATTATTCTGCGATACAGTTTCCTATCATACTACATTATATGAAGTAACACGGTATGATATGACATTATGTTATATATTATGACATGAAGCAAGCTATACGAGCCCACTTTTGCTCTGTTACAGTACATTTTCTTAGGAACCTTGTCACAAGGTATGATATGATACGGTGTGAAATGGTATTTTGCGACGTGATTGCACTATTGCATTATGAGTTCGTGCGGCACACGCTGCGTCTTTTTCAATGTTTCTGTAAACTGTGCCAAAATTTTATAGGGTGAGTTGTTGTATTGTATTATGCCGAAACTTTTAAATCATAACATCAACTGTTGGAACAGGTTAGAACTTATGCCTATGCTGAAATAAAATATGAAACGCTGCATTATGTTCAACAACATTTCGTTATGTGTTGTCATATTTTTGATGTTGCACTACATTGTGCGATATTGCGTGCCAGTACATTGCATCAAATTTCATTGGCTGTCTGGCCAAGCTTAAAGGCATTCAGGGATTCTAGCCAAACCGTATATACCATTACCGCAGAGATCTTAATCGGTAGAATAAGTGTGGGACGGTCTCGGGTTTGGGCTGAGTACGAAGCCCCAGCTCTGATCCTAGACAGGTCGTCTGATTTGTAGGGTTTAGGGTTTAGGGGTTTAGGGTTTAGCCTGAAAAACTAACAATGCTGTTTATCAGGGCTCCTACCTTCATCCTGGTGTAGCATACTCCAAAAAGCCTGTTCTCATTTCGAAGGCCTGGTATTACTATAGCGGCCTAAATAATTACCAATACGGTTCCTATAACTATAGCTATAGTACAATGCACCCCAAAACCCTATTGTAACTATTGAGGCCCCTACATTAAGGCCGGGTTAGGGTTTAGGGCTTCGGGTTTTGGGATAGGGGCCTTATACTATACTATAGTAGGTTCCCTTTACAGGGGCTTATACGGCCCCTTGTTATTAGGGGATTTGATAATTAGAATAGGTTTCGGGGGAACGGAAGAGTATATTAGTATAAATGCGATCATAAGGAGCCCTGGGGAAATGGGTGCTGCTGATGATGGTAGTGAAGCCGCTGGTATCTCGATTTTGATTAGGGCTTAGGGGCTTAGGGTTTTAGGGGTATAGGCTTTTCTGAAGCAACATAGAGGGAGCCTGATCTTCGCATCGCCCAGGATAGTAGAAATGGACACTACATCACCCGAAGGCCGAGGACAGGTATCACAAAAGCCTCAAAGCCTAAAACTCTAAACCCTAAGCCCTAAAAACCATATACCCTGAACCGTATTATCCCAAAACCCCAAACCCCAGAGCCCAAAAAACCCTCAAACTCGTGAAACCCGAGAACCCGAGCCGACCTCTGCAAGAAGGAAAGTGTCTGTGGACTCGACTTCAGGCGACACCTATCTGCTCGAGAGCTCGCAGGGGGTCTTTCCCAGGCTTCCATCAGCCTTGATACGCTTTTTCTAAAATTTGGGGCTTTGCTTGGAGGTTCATGGGTAGTTAAAAGTGGTGTTATAAGTAGGGTAACTATACTTCCAACCCATATTCGGGGACTTTTAACCCTACTTATAGCTAACCATGAACCTTCATCAAGTAGGGCTTTGGAGTCTTAGGCGACTCAGCTTTTAGGGGTCGGCGCTCTGAATGATTTAGAGCTAGTTCACCTCTGCGACTGCTGAACGGCGAACAGTACCTTATGGACAAGACATGAAGTGATCGAATCCTGGGCTCCCCTACTCTACTTGGAGGGTCGGGGGACTTAGTGAGTAGGTAGTAAGTAGACTTATAAGTACCCAAAAGGGACACTAATTGGGGTTATGGTACTTATAACTCCGTAAAATAACCAGTTGCTACGTCACCCGACCCTCCAAGTAGGACCGTACGATCGACCCATAGCAAGGTTGAGGGCTTAGGGTTTAGGGAGAAGCTCAACCAGCAAACTTTTACAAACTCCTGAAAGAAATTGGCCCAAACCAACACCCCGCAGACAAAACCTACGATGAACACCCCCTACTGCTGATGCTGCTGCTTCGCGCCGGTAGTGATAGTGATGTAGCAGTAGCAGAGGGAGTAGTACTAGTCGCCGTGGCAGTACTTGGAGGGTCGGGGGACTTAGTAACTGGTTATTTTAGGGACTTATAAGTACCATAACCCCAATTACGGCCCCTTTTAGGGTACTTATAAGTCTACTTACTACCTACTTACTAAGCCCCTAAACCCCTGAACCCTATAGTACCCTTATAGAGCCCTTTAACGGAACCCTTAAAATCCCCTTTAAAGGAGGCCCCCTACTTACTAAGTCCCCTAAAGACCCTCCAAGTAGGAGCCAGGAACCCAGAGCGGACCGAGGAGAAGCCTTGGGCGCATCTGCCCGGCGGCAGCAGATAAGGTCCTTAGGTTTGTGGATGGTTGTCAAAATTAGGGTCCCTTTTTGGGTCCTTATTACAATACGGCACCTAATATTTAGGGCACCCAAAAAGGGACCATAATTTTGACAACCACTCTTGCAGAGGATTAGGGTTCAGGGTGGGAGCCTGAACCCTTAACAAACTAGGTTTAGAGCCTCAAAGGAATCGGGCAGTGGCATAGGATTTCGGTGTCTGGCAGAACGAGCCTACTCTTTCGAGAATTCTTAGGCAACTTTGAGTTGGTTTTCAGCCCATCTGTGCTGCACGCACATCTACTAGAGACATATACACAAACAGTGCACATGTACAACATACATACATGGATACATACATACATGAATACGTACGTGCATGTTTGCAAAGATAGGTACATACATACATACATACACATTCATACACGCACGCATGCACATATAAAAGTAGAAAACAACGTGTTTACATTGTAGGATTTTGTGTCCACCTCCCTCGCTCTCCCTCTCTATCTAACTAACTATCTATGTATAAACATATACATACAAGTGTACACGTAAGACGTTACACATGCACGCACAGCATTGGTGCACACACATATCTATATCAGTCTATACCTGTATGTACACACATATGTATATATATGTAAATATGGATATATATATATATACACACATACATATATACATATAAATATGTATACAAATTTCCACACACGTGTATATGCATACACACGCATGTATGTGTACTTGTGGGTTAGTGCTGATGCATTTGCCATGGTTGCTGTTACTGGGGTTTTCTGTTGTGCGAAGTATGAAAGATTATGAACGTGCACGAGTCAAACTACATGCAAATACACATGCAGGCGCGCAGTATCTAATGCTAGCGACTTGGGCACTGGCCTCAGAGCTTAAGCATTGGGGCATGCAGCGGGTATGTAAGTAGCCTTAAAGCACCTCTGTTTGGGCCTCGTTGTTTAGAAGTCTGGCTTTTCATGGTGCTGTTGTAAGCCGCGCCCTAAACCCTAAACTTCTAAACTTATTCCTTACTGCGCTAAGAGATCTACCCATAGACACGACTACCCCAAGGGTCCAAAGTACTTGTATAATAGAACGTAGGGTTTCTAAAATTAAAATTAGGAACTCATATTCCCTGTGGGCTACACTGTTTAGGGCTTCGAACTTCGGGTTTCGGGTTTAGTTCTTAGTGCCTAAGCTTGAAGGATTCGCTCTGTTTGGGTTTAGGGTTTTTGGGTTTCGGATTTAGGGTTTCGGGTTTAGACTGTAAGGGTTTCGGGCAGGTGTTTTCAGGAAACATTTTCTAGGATGCCCAGTAAGCTAGGCTAGGAACAAAAAGGGCTCCCAAATGAGTATTGGGTGCAGTAACTTTATAAGGAACCTAGGACTACAAAAAGGGAAACAGGGTTCCCCTGGCCCCTGGCATCCTAGATTTGCTGCAAGGGGCTGAGGGGCTGCTTACATGGGGATTAAAAAGAGTCGTTGCAGGGCTCATGGGAACTGCTCAAAGAAGTCTTGAGATTTAGATTAGAAGGGGCACCCACCCTGTAATAGTGGTATAATAGGAATATAATAGGGCCCTAATATAATCCTTATAGTCACTATTACAGGGTCGGGGCCCCTTCTAAGATTTGGATTACACCTCTGGTGGATTCTTGAGGTATACGGTACTATGGGTATACAGAAACTGTAAGGGTGCGAGAGAAAACACACCTTGTGAATGCAAGCATGATTTAAAAATAACATGCTCTACTTTGGAGCCGGGTCAAGTTCACAACCATCTTGCTCTAGTAACTTCCGAGGTTGGCTTTGAAGTAACCAGGCAGAAAACAGTATAGACGTTTGTTTCATAACGGTTCCTTTAAGGAACAGGTACCAAAAAAGGGTATTCAAGTATGGTACTCCAAATCCAGGTGCAGGAACCCGGACGCCCATCTTTCCGAGACCACCACTAAACATATCTGTTAGAGTTACCCTACCTTCGATTACCCTCCTTATAACCCCACTTGTAACCCTACTTATGGCTAAGATGTTGCTGCAACTTGGGTTTGTTACCCTCCTCATAACCAGAACCTTCATATCCAGCAAAGTTCCAGCGCTTAGGGATGTCGGGGGCTACCTGTAGTCTCCATTGTATTTCCTTTTTTCGGTTAACCAAATGAATATTGTAGGTACAATAAAGGATCCGAACCATAAAGCTGGTCAACCAAAAACAGGGAACTACAATGGAGACTATAGGTATAGAATACATTTACAGGTGGGTGGTTATAAGGTGGGTTGTTTCCCATAAGCCTCCCATACCACTCCTATAAGGTAAAGGGGGTCTTATGGGAGTACTATGGAAGAGGAACTACCTACCTGTAAGGGGCTTCTATAGAAGCATCTTTTTCCAGACTGAAGATGAGTCCGAAAACCCGAGGCCTTGAAACAAATCTTGACTTTTCCCAGCGTCCCTAAACCCCTCAGCTTTCCTAAACCCGAAACCCTAAACCCCTAAACTCTAAACCCAAACCCCTAAACCCTAAACTTTCCTAAACCCTAAACCCCTAAACCTTGCCCAAACCCTACAGCCCTCAACTTTCCTAAACCCCTAAACCTTTCCAAAACCGTAAACCCCTAAACCCTAAAGGCCTAAACCCCTAAACCTTTCCCAAACCCCTAAACCCTAAATCCCTAAACCCCTAAACTTTCCTAAACCCCTAAACTTTTTCCTAAACCCTAAACCCCGAAACCGCTCCCAGCGTCCCAGAAGGCCATGATGTCGAAGCGCCGTCTCCGGGCTTGAGCCCATGCCAGGTTCGACGGGCAAACGATTCAGGTTTAGGGTTTAGGGTTTAGGGTCAGGGCGCAGCCCAAATCTTAGACCCTAAACCCTTTAAGAGTTCTATAAGGGTACTGTAAGGGTCCCTTTAAGGGTTCTTGAAGAGTTCTATAAGGGTACCCCAAGGGTCCAAAGGACCCAATAATTAGGCATTCGGTTTTGGGATACTAGTCATGTAGGTTAGGATTTCGGAAAGTATATGATTATTAGCTACTTGGACCCTTGGGCTAACCAAAGCTCAAAATACCCGTAGACCTGGGGAAGGGATGACTAAAAACATATGCGTACAAGCGGCGCAACTGCTAAACTAACACAATCACAACACAAACAACATATTGCCACTGTACCTTCGGAGCCGACGACGACTAGGAATACTTCCTAATTACTCTATAAGTACTTCTCAACTGTAAGCCCTTAGTTGCCCCAAAAACCTGAGACCTGAAACCAGTGAAGCTTGACTCAAGCACATTTTTACACGACGCCCGAAGCGTCGAAACCGTGGCGGACCCCTCGGAGATAATCCGGATGTAGTTCTACGGAGATGTTTTTTCGGGTCTACAGTTTAGGGTTGAGGGTTTAGGGTTAAAGGTTACCTACTCTACTACTAGGTCTTGGCTGCTAATATTGGTAAAGCTGCAGATTTGGAGGCTTCACGGTTTCAGGTTCACCTCAGTTCCATGCAAAGTATTCATTGAGACCCTCGTTGCCCTAAGCTGAAAGCTTGATGTCGCAATGCCTCCACGATGCCCAGTTAGCCTCGTTTAGTGTCCTGGGACTTCCTGAGATTGGGCCAACTCGGTGCGATTCGAAGCTTAGGCCTAAAACCTTTAGACCCTAAGCCCTATTCTGGAGTGGTGTTCAGATGAGCAGTTCAGGTATAAAGGCAAAATGTGACAAGAAACGACACCTCAACGAGAACTGAGAATGTTGATGCTCTTGGGCGATTTTGGGAGTTTGAAGACGGGTCCGGAACTTACGGTTCAGAGCTTGGGTTTAGGAGCTGTGGCTTAGCTGTTTCTTATAATTACAGGAACCCAAAATTACAAAATAGTGATAAGTACCCCTGAGGCTGGGAGCTTTAGCTTACTCAAATCGATGAGAACCTATCCCGCACACGTAGAACAGATGCAGCCCCCTTAGCCATCCCATTCCCGAGCATCAACGGTCCCCTCTGAAGGAAAGCAACGTCGGAGATGTCTATTGTTCCTCTTTGTTCTACTTACAGATTCAGATAGTTATAAGTAGGGTTATAAGCCCCCTAGTATGGGCCATAATTAAAGTTACCCTACTGATAACCCTACTTACAACTACCCATGAACCTCCAAGTAGGATACTGCGATCTATGATAGATATGGGCGGGTGTCAAAATTATGGTCCCTTCTTGGGTCCCTATTATAGTACGGCACCTAATATTTAGGGTACCCAAAAGGGGACTATAATTTTGACAACCACCCATATGAGAGCTGCTCTCACGGCTCCTAGCATTACTAACGCTCATGGCTAGTTGGATGTAAATCTTGCCAGCTCCTTGTTGGAGTTTACGAAAATTAGGGGTACCTTATTTGGGGGTCCTGTTAATAAGGATCCTATTATTTAGGGTACTATATTAGGGTCCCCCATTTTCGGAAACCCCCTTGTAGAACTCATGGCTGCGAGGATGCAGGCATCAATGATGACAGCAACGACATAGATCAAGTAAATCAGAAGAATGAGATGACGATGATGAAGGTGCTGATCGCTATTCTGATCTTTATAAAGCTCTAGCCCTTCTTGGGTGAAAGTACCCATGAAAATGTAAATGTGCTAGCCAACTGTGACGAAGAAGAGCTGTGTACTAGGTACCAGCTGGAAAATGTTGAGGCTGACAGGTGCAGCGGCAGTTGGGGGCTTGGAAGCCAGGTGTTCTGAAGTCGACAGATCCTGGCTATGGCTGCAAAGCCCTAGGGCGCCAGCCGTCTTCATCTGAGTCATGTGAAAGCTTCAGAAGAAAAACAAGAGGCCCAAACATTAACATAGACCCGAAATCATAAGATCTGTATTACGCGGACACCTGAGCCCTAAACAGGATCCATATTTTCAGACCTCTCTTGTTTGACACAGGTCTGAGCGCCAAAGGGCGTGGGTTGGGCCCTGCTAACGATGCATTCTCCCAAGCACCCAAGAAGCCACCACAGCCCTGAAGCCTAAACCCTAGGCCCGTAAACTCCTCAACACCAAAACCCGAAACTCTAAGACACCCAACTCCTGAACCATTCACCCTCAAGGCCCTAATTCCCTGAACCCCTAAATAGCCCAAAGTAGGCTGTATCCATAGACTTTAGACCCCAAAGCCTCCTCCTCATCATCCTGGCCCTCAGACTTCAACCATACAGGCTTCCGTTTAAAGGGCTCTATAAGGGCTGCACTAAGGGATCTATAAGGGTAGTATAATATAGGGGCCTTAACAATGACTACGACTATATTGGCGGCTCCTTGTTATAGTTTATAGTTTAAATTGGGCCCCAAACCCGATTCTAATTATCAAGGCCCCTGTTTTAAAAACAACACCAAGAGCAGTGCGGTCTTGATGAACATCCGTTCGGTTTACTCTGCCTCAGCCCAACCTTTACCAAAACACATAGAACCTTAAACCCCTGCACGCCCTGAACCTAGAACCCTAATCCCGAAACCCTAAAACATAAACCCTAAAACCCTAATCCATAAATCCGGTCCAGAGTTTTCTGGGTTAAGATCTCCCAGGTTTCGGGCACCAGACCCAATAGTAGCCTAGGAATCAAAGGGGTGCCCTTCGTGGGTTAAAGGGTGTCATAAGAGAACTTAAACCCTAAGAAAGGGAAGAAGGACCTAGTCTGGGTCCTAGGGAAAGTTCAGGGCTGGAGGGCTCAGGGTTCAGAGTTCAGGGCGTGGGGCTTTACGGCTGCAGGGTTTCAGGCTTTAAGGGACCTAAGCCGACTTCGCCTGTGCATAGAAGCCCATCAGGTTCTGCAACTCGGGCTTACTTTGCCTGACGGCAGACTGCGCACCTGCAGCGAAGCTCTGGCTGGGATCTATCGGGTTTAGGTATAGAATTTGGAGTTTATGGTTTGGGATTAGGGCTGAGAGTTTAGAGTTTAGGGTATCGGAATCGATAGCTCCAAAACCCGGGAAAAAGAGGAGTTTCATGAAAGTTCCACGTAGAAGCCTAACTGATGGGCAATACTGCTCCGCTATAGCCCCTATATTAGCTATGCTCTTCGATACAAGCCCCAGGCCCTCAACTCAGGGTTATATAGAAGGCCCAGGTTCACTGTCTTACCTTTGGTTAGTAGGGAATGGAAGAGTAGTTATAGTTGTACCCCATTCCTCAATTCCCTACTAGCCAAAGGTAAGCTGTTTGGTTCTGTGGGCCAAGTCCTAGATTCGTGGTGGACTCTTTAAGGGTAGATATGGGAGTTTCCGAAAATAGGGGACCCTAATATAGTACCCTACATAGTAGGATCCTACCCCCAAATAAGGTACCCCTATTTTCGGAAACTCCCATATGCATCAGGCTTTAGGTTAAGGGGTTCCTTTTTGAAGGCCATCACCATCCCAGACCCCCCCCGGGAGGAGCCAAAAAGTAGATCGCTTAATGGGGGGTTCCTCTAAAGTACCCTTAGTAGTATAAGGCTCCGAATTCGGGCATCTACCTTCTAGATCCTCCCGGAATTCTGGGATGGGGAGATCAGGATTCGGGTTTAGCATCGGGGTTGAGTTTGCAGGGACTAATTCTTGCAATGCAATTGAGAAGAACGATGCCAAGGACCAGGCCTAAACCTTCCAACCATTGAACGCAAGTTCTAAACCCTGAACCTGAGACAACCCTAAACCGGAAAATTTTGAGAGAACTACTCACATAAACATCGACATTTCGCTTACTCGGAGTACTCACTCCACTGCACGGAATGTTCTTTGCAAAAGGAGTTGCCCTAAACCCTAAACACCTAAATCGTAAACCCCTAAAACCTCCTAAACCCTAAGCACGCTCATTCATTATCTTGTGCAGCTGCCTTCGAGCAGGATTCGCATGCTGTTTCCACCCGCTTCCTGGCAGTTGTTCGGAATTTGGGCGTGCAGCTTAGGGTTTAGGGTAGTATGTACGGTGTAGGATATAGGGCGTGCCTGGTATGCTCTCTCGCTTTACAAGGATGCCGTCCGATTTCTGCGACCTAAAACCCTAAACCCTCAGCGGTTCCTGCGAGGTACGCACCTCATCGTCTGGGAGTCGCCGGAGTGTTGGGCGGAGATCCAGCAACTCTTGAAGGCTCAGGCTCAGGTTGCACTGCACGTAGCCAGAAGGACAATATCAGTTTGCAACTTATCAGACGAGTCAGACCGCTAAAACTCTTCAACATTCCAGTTGATCGGACCGTATGGCCAGTATCAGCAGCAACAAGAAAATTTTGTGAAGTTATGTACAGCAAGACTGCCTTGTGTTGCGTTGAGCCTGTGCGGTGGATAAAGTAGTGCTCCAAATTGCCACATGGTCATGAGCCCAAGCTACGCTCTGTGAGTGATGGAGAATCCAAACGAGTCAGATGTTCCGAGTGGCCTGGATCGGCCATCTCCGGAGGAGCAGTTGTTGAGTGGTGCTGGGACGGCGAGTCAGGCATTTGAGCCCGATTATCGTCTGCCTGGAGAAATGGGACTAGATGCAGAAGCGAGGGAGCTACTGAATGAAGAACGTTCAGAGGGGTCGGAGGAAACAGCGAGGCAATCAGCTAGCTCGCGTGATCCGGCTGATGTGGGTTCTCTTGCGGGGCCGGTGGTAGCTCGAGTGGGAGAAGCGGGTCCAACGTCTGCGCCCGCTCGTATGCCATCTAGCAGTGGGGGTATGCGCATGGAAGTGGACGATGTAGAGCTGATTCCGGATTATTCGCAGCTTCCGGAGCACCCAGCTGTTCCTTCTTCCTGGACTGGTCGTGTAGCGCCGTCTCATGAGGCCACGGGCAGTGGGTCAGGTCCTTTGGATTCGCTGTCTGGCATGCTTCAGGGCTTGTTGGCCGAACAGTTGGCACCGGTGATTCAGAACCAGAGACTGCTTGCAGAAAGGTTGGAGCGGATCGAAAGTTCCAGGGGATCAATGTCTCAAGACTCGGTGAGAGCAGAGCCACGACTTACTGCTGCGCCGCCTGGAATTTTTCCCTCGGACGCTGGATTGGGCAGTGGTGTCATGGGTGCTTGTAGTGGTGCAATGGGCTTTGGGACAGCAGCCTCAGGATTTGGAGGAGGACTGTCATCAGAAATGGTGGCCGAACTGAATCGGCAGCAGTTCCTAACGCCGTGGTGGCAGTTCCCTGCGCAATGTCCACCCCCTCGCTTGCCTGAGCATCTGAGGCAATCAAATCCGATCGGCAGTACCGGCAGGGCTGACGTGGGTGTAGCGACTTTGGGTGCGGAAGGGGGCATGGGTGCGGGTGGGATTGAGGGGCCGTCACTCGCTGGGCAGGGTAGAACCGCGGAAGCAACTCCAAGACGTGGCGCGGCTGTGCCAGCGGAGAGTGGGAGAGCTAGTCAGTGTGAGGGAGTAGGTGCTTTGTCTCAAGGGGTTAGCCTCTCAGAGGTCACTGCTCGTCCTGCAGCTGCCACTGTCTCGTCCGGTCCACCGGTTGAGGAAGCTCTTAGAGTCGTTGTCGCTGCACTTTGCGTGGCATCAGTTAAGGGTGAACCGTTGAGTGAGGGTTCGGATGATTTTGGTTTTTGGAGAGTCATCTTGCTCTGGAGCGTGTTGGTGATTCTTGTCTGGGAGATCGTCAAGTGGGGCTGTCGGGTGAGCTGCCGGAGGTTCGTGTTACCGGACATGCCTGAGCCAGACTCAGAAGCTTCCCAATCTGAGCGGGAGCAGGAACCTGATGACGAGGATCTTTTGGTAGAAACTGATAGGCCTCAGGTTACCGCTGAGCCTCTGGATGAGGACCCTGGTGTGATGCCATTTCGGTACGCTGATGATGTCGTGTATCTTGTTCCTCGTAGGCCCACGATTGCCTATCATACTGAACCAGAGCAGCAGGTCCTAGAGCAGGCAGGGATTAGAAGACGTCACGCTTTGAGAGTTTATGCTCCCGAACCTGATGATGAGCCGTTGCCGCAAGTGAGAGGTGTCGGGTCCGATGATGTTCCTAGGGAAGCTGAGCGTGTCGTTAGGGTCTCCGACCTCGCGCCGCTGCCGAGTTTTCAGGAGGGGGGTCCGTTAAGGCGTCTGGTGGAAGCCAGGGAGCGGGCAGAGGTCCTGCAGGGGATGTTGAACATGCCCCCTATGGTACCTATCGTGCTTCACCCTTTTTGGCCTGCGCCACCACAGCTGACGGTGAGAGAGCTTCGGACAATGGCATCTGAGTGGGGTGGTCCTGCGAGTTCTCTGTATCAAGAGCCACATCCGGCTTACCACGGCGATCAGTACATCTACGTGCCCGATGTGAGACCACGAGTGTTGGTGAGATGGCATATGCGGCCGCGTGTGGGATTATTCCATCCGGAACAGGCGCCTACGCCAATTCCTCTCGGTGCTCTTACAGGACAGCGACGCACGCTGCAGGGATTTGCCAATGGGGACAGGGTCATTTGGGATGACCGCTTCACGAATCCAGATCCTGAGAGGCCACATGAAAATCTGTGGAGAGGACGCACAGAGCTGGAAGTAGACCCAGATGAACTGGCGAGACTCCAAGGGGGAAATGAGGACTCCGATTAGCTCTGAGTATGAGCTGCATGAGTGCAAACTGTATTCTGGTTCAATCCGGACAGATTGCAAGGCACCACGAATCAGATTATTTTTGGAAGTGATGGTCTTCCAAACTGCCACTGGGTACAGTTGGCGGCAGCGCGGTCACTGATCTTCTATGCGTTCGGCCAAGGCCGAAGGGGGAGAGCGGTTCCTGCGAGGTACGCACCTCATCGTCTGGGAGTCGCCGGAGTGTTGGGCGGAAATCCAGCAACTCTTGAAGGCTCAGGCTCAGGTTGCACTGCACGTAGCCAGAAGGACAATATCAGTTTGCAACTTATCAGACGAGTCAGACCGCTAAAACTCTTCAACATTCCAGTTGATCGGACCGTATGGCCAGTATCAGCAGCAACAAGAAAATTTTGTGAAGTTATGTACAGCAAGACTGCCTTGTGTTGCGTTGAGCCTGTGCGGTGGATAAAGTAGTGCTCCAAATTGCCACATCCCTCAACCCGAAACCCTAAACCTTGGCTCTGACCCTACGTACTTTACAGAACTAGTCATCTGCTGGTTATGATGTAATATAGCGGCCTTAATAAGGAGATGAGTGTTTAAAATCCGACTCTTCTATAGTTTTAATTAGGACCCCCGCCCCCCAAAAAGTATTGGCAATTATTTAGGTCCCTACACTGAATCCTTATAATCGCCCTTCAGTAACCCCTATAGACCCTTTAAAGGAAATAGTGCTGGTAATTATTTCGACAGCCGGCACGTCCTCCACGCGCAGCTCCACCCCCCAGTCGGCGGAGAAGCGCTCCAGATCCGCCTGATATGCAGCAATATGAAGGAGCTTTGCAGGGATTCACATAATTTTGCAGGGTGTGCAAGGGCTTTGCGTTTTTTGTTTAGATGGCCTGCAGAGTTTACGGGGGCTTAGCAGGGGTTTGTGCAAGGGTGCTGGGATGGGGTTTTTTGAGCGACATCACAGAGAACTGAGCGGCTAACTAGGTAGAGGGTGTAGGCTCAGTGCGGGCGATGGGAGGATGGATGCAAGGCAAAAGAGTCTCTAGTAGCTCTGAGTAGGGAGTTGCCGAACTACTCCTTGGATCGATCGCTTGAGTTTTCGCTTCCAAAGATTAAGGCTGCACAGAGTAGGTTAAAATCACCTCTCAAGACACTCAAAGACATGCCATGCATGCATACCTACATGTTGCATGCTGTATCCATGTTTCCCGATGTGTGCTCTGTCAGGAACGTATTTAAGCTTTTAAAAGGCTTGGGATTCAACCTTAAACCCTAAACCCTAAACCTTGGGTTCGCTGGACCCTAAGCCCACAGCCAGGCACCAAGTTCGATTTTACCAGGCTCAGACCTCGAGCCCCTAAAGGGAACTCCAGAAAGTGGGAACCCAGACCTTCCAAAATCCTTTAATTAAGGAATATACCTTAAATTATAGTAGGACCCCTAACATGATTTTAGGTATATTCCTTAAGTAAGGGATTTTGGAAGGTCTGGGAATATGGTTTCAGGGTAGGATACCTTATAATTTACCATAGAAGGGTAAGGAGAATCATATTCCAACTTTCTGGCTTTTACTTTATGCCCAACACTCTCGCAATACAGCCTTCAACCGAGACCCAACCTCCAAACACTACGCCTACACCCTGAACACTATATATCCTAAAAGCATCCCTGTGCACAACCCTGTCAATCCTAGGCCCCAAACCCAATTTTCAAGCATTAAAACCCTTGCACCCCAACAATACCAACCTCCCCCCGAGCCTACTCACCTCACAATTCTCGACCCCAAACCTGCATTAAACCTTATTGACACCGATACCATCAGCCTTATTATGCAAACACCCGGTAACCATCACAAGGACCCTTGAAGAATTTCTACAAGGACTCCCTGAACTGTAAACCCTAAAACCCCGAACGCCTACACCCCTAACAATAAAGGACAAAACCAAAGGAGACCGGAACCCTTAAAGGAACCCTTTGAGGAAACCTCAGACAAAACCTCAACCTTAAAGGAATTTTTAAGGGCCCCTGTTAATAAGGGATCTATAGGGGTTCCTTTAAGGTGCACTTCACGGGACCTATAGGGATTACTTTAAGGGGGCCCTGAACGGAAGCCTTAAAGGAAACCCCAGTATCTCCTCCAGGGACGTCTTGTCCACCGGCGCCGGAGGCGCCAGGATACCGGAGACCTGCTTGAGATGACTCATGCAACTCATTCTTAGGGTTGGGGGTTTGGGGTTTTGGGGGTGAGGGTTTGTAGTTCTGGGTTTGGGGTTTAGGGTTTACAGCTTTGGGTTTCGGGTTTGGGATTTAGGGTCTGCGGCGGAATAGCGCCGAGGCTACAGAGGGCTTTTCCGTCGTTCTCTGCGATATTTGAGCGTGGGGTTTCAGGTTTCGGGTTTAGGGTTTGGGCTTAGGGGGTTGGGGATTTAGGCTACAGCTTGGGGAATTAAGGGGTGAAAGGCTTAGCCTTTGTGGCGGTGGACCGGGGGGGAGGTCAGCAATTTGCGATTCAAGATGCACTTCAGAGTAAGCCGCCAGGACTCTTGGTTCAGCATCGGAAGGTTGTTTCTGGCTTAACTTCGTGGCCTGGGCAACCCATACACATAACCCAACAGACAACTAAATCAACACGCTAATTCTTCATCATATCAAGTGGACGATAAATACACCTGTGTATATGTACAAAAGTACGCACGTAATACGGATTTGAGATGATTTAACTTTTAGGGCCGTAGCTTGAGGATCTAAAGAGCTTTTCAGTCAAAACCAAACGTAGTTGGTTGAGGGTTAGTGTAAAAGGATGAGGCTTGTGGCTCGCTTGTGCCCTATTTTGAACCTCAGGGGTGAAGGGTTCCGGCTTTGCGCATCGGCCTGCACGTACGGCTCAACCTTTACCGTACAGCCGTCCCCAAAGAGGTCTGCAAAGCGTTGTTCGCAGTCCTGCCAGCAAAGCAAAACTGCACCTACACGGATAGGGTTTTTGGTTTAGGGCATCGCGCTTTGTAATTGGGGGATGGCACTCAGTCACCTTGGGGACGGCTTGACCCTTAAAAAAGCTGACGTTGCGCTTTTCAAATGACCCTTATTTTAAGGTACGTTTGAAATGTCCCTTAAACCGGCCATGGGTCGTTGTGCACGGGATAGAACAAGACCGAACTGCACCGAATTGGCTCAACTCATGCATTTCGACATATTTTGGTCAGAATATCTTGCCCATGATGCTCTATGCCGGGACCCCTCCCCCAATTTTGCTCATGCATGCGTAGGGAAGATTTGACCTTCGGCGGAACGAGTGCGGGAGAGAAAAACCCTAATTCCTGAATTCCCTATAGATGTGATACTAAATTCTTTCTGCAGGTCGATCGGAGTCTGCATGCAGTTTTGCAAGTGCAGTTCGCAAGATCGCAGAGACGCACATGCTGCAGTGATCGTGTCTGCAAACTCCGCCCGAGTCGGTGTGTGCAGCTGGCTCTACATGTCTGCAGCTCTACATGTGCAGGCAAGCGAGTTGAAAGCTCGTGGCATTGACAAATAAATCTGTGAGATTGCATGTTCCACAAGCTGTCAGTTCGGAGTTGCAACCCCTGTGGGCCCCACACGTGGGGTGCATGGTGCTCCGTTGCAAGATTGTTGGGCAGGACCGGGCGGTCTTGAAGTTCAGTTTTCCGACAAACAGAGACCTGGACAAATACTTTGTTTGGAGGACTGTTTCCTCTTCGACAACTTCGAGCTCGACGTTCTGAGGTTTTTCTATGCAGCTTGGCCCTTCTGCTGCACATATGGGTTCTGTGAATGTAAAGAGTGTCGAGAAACGGTGTGTGTGAACAGCTGGTGCTGTGCAGGACTGGTGAAGCTGTGAAGCGGCGATGGTGCATCAAGGTCGGTACAGAATGAACAGATTCCGGTCAGAGTTTCAGAATGCCAGGGTCAGGAAACAATCGGGATTCTAGATTTGCTGTATGGCCTCTATAGAAGGTTTGGCTGCTCTGTGTTGTTTTAATTGTTCCAACGAGCAGCTTCTGTGCAGGATGCCTCGGCCGGCAAAGTACAAGCCGAAGATCTGCAGGGTCACACGTGATCCAGATGATGACTCAGGCGCCAGTCGGCGGCTTCATGCAATGTACGTGTTTTTGCAGGAGCATGGAACTGAAGCAGTGCAGTGAGTGCTTGCGCAGTATGCAGGATAAGATTGGCGAGTGCTTCAGTTTTTTTGTTCGAGCTCCGCATGTGTCAGATGCCAGATCATGCCCTGCAGACCTAAACAAAAGCTAGGGTTCCCGAGGTCCTGACCTCGGGCATTGCAAATTTCCTGTGCACTGGGGTTCGCCTTTTGCTAGCCATGGCTGCTGTGATTCCTGAAAAGGTTCATTTTGAACCAGGCTCTGAGGCTGTACGTGTCTCGGAGGAGCTGAGCAAGGAGCCGTCCCTCATTTCGGCACCTTTGAAGAATTATATTATATATATACATGTTGTTTTGTGTGAGTTCTTGCAGCTCAATATTTGCAATCTGAGGCAGGCTTGAACATGGTGATCGACCCATCGGGCAAGCTGCTCACAAAAAGGAAGGTGGTTTCACGCAAAGATTGCATCGCCAACCCGAGAGTGCCCCATCTGAATATATCATGGGATATGGAATGTAGTGCACACAGATCAAAGCTTGTTGCTCAACATACTAAGGTCATTGCTGCAGCAGTGAGAGGACAGCTGAAGTCGCGCAAGCGCCAGAGCGCTTATATATACAGCGATGCGATACTGCATTTTGTGAACAACAACAAGATCTTGCCTAAAGGTGTGCTCATAAGTGCACCTGCCGTCCAGAACTGGGCCTGTCGAACTGGCCAAGCAATCCGGAAGCTTGCGGCTGGTCTTACAGCTAGAGTGGGATTTGTTCCGATCGAAATGGGTTCCTTTGCCTGTCTGTAGCCGAGGTGACCAAGTTCAAGCACCTTGCCCGTCGAGCAAGGAGTTCCCATCAGGCCCAGCTCCGGGAATTGAAGGCTGAGCTG